GGAATAGGCGAATTCAAAAATATTTTTGATGCATGAAACATTTCCACAAATTTTATACGTTTGGTGTGTAGAGGCCTTAACTCAAGTTTAATTTGTAACAATCAAAAAGCTGCACGTCAAACTAAAAAGAAATTAACATTAAATGAAGGGAAAGTAGCTTAACTAGACAGAGGCGCACTCTTCCAGAGGTAATCTGTGTAAAAGCAGTGTGTAAGTCCCTTGGGGAAGTTCACCGACTCACACTTTTTTTATCAGATGGATTCACACTTCATTATGGCTGATCCCTGCAGCCACACACATACACACACATGTTGTCCCTGCAGCTACAGTGAAGAGGTCATTACACTCGGTAGCTCTACTGCATCAACAAAACAAATCGATTCTGGCTTTAGGATCAGAGACATTGTGAAAGCACGTGCGTCTTTCTGTGTGTAAAGGAGAAAAACGGGAGAAAGTGGGACATGAACACATGCGGAGATCCATCATGAGAAGTAATCTGACCTTCGTGCTCTTTTGGAGATGGCGGAGTGAAGGAAGAGAAAGAGAAAGAGGGGAGCGGAGTGCCAGAGAGACTAATTAACTTGAGAGACACGGCCTTTTTCTCCTCCTCCTCAACAGAGAACATGCATGTGTTTAGTATATATGTGTATTTTGTACTGATATCAGGGCATAGTCATCACTGACAGATGGGCACATGACACAGTGTCTCATCATCACATGAGAGCTGCAGCATGAGAGGTAGTGAGGAAGGAAAACAGACACTCAGACTCTCTGACTTGTTCAAACACCAACTAAAAATACTCTAAAATGTCAGGGTATGCATCTCTGACTTCTGTCTCTGTAAAAAACAATTTTACGTTTCAGAAGAAGGTAGGTTTTTTGAGGAGGCTGGTCTCTCTAAGGTAGGAAGTGCTTTTTGGTTGGAATTGGAGCATCTTTTTTTTTAAACCCCAAATTTAAATATTACAGGAAAACCAGAAGTTCTTAAATCAGGAGGATTAGAGTCAGGCATAATTCAACACAGTTTACCAAGAAATGCAAAGCTTGTTTAGTCTGCAGTGGCTTTATGGATCTGTGGTACTTGCACTTGATGCATAATTAAGGCAAACTAATAAAACTGAAAAGTGGTGGTAATATGTAGTCTCATTAACCCTTCAAAGCTACAAACATACATGCAATATTACTGAAAGTTATTGAAGTTACACTCATAAAGCCAGTTATTCTTTGCACGGAAATTCAATTCAGTTTTCATTTTCAGTTATATGGCGCCAAATCACAACAACAGTCACCTCAAAGCACTTTGTATTATAAGGTAAAGGTCCTGCAATAATAGAGAGGAAACACTACAATCACACAACTCTCTGTGATCAGGATAAAAGGCAAACTGTGGAAGAGAGCCAAAGATCAAAATCCTAAGACTCCTAAAACAAACATTTCTTGAAATATAACAGCAGTATGTGTCGTGGATTCATGCTAACAAGAGCAAAACAAGCATTAGCTGACTGCTCAGCCACAACATAACGTGACCAGGGTTTAATATTAAAGTGTACTGATTTATTTAAAAGTGCAAATATACATCTTAATACATTATATAAGGGAGAAACAGAGCTTTTACAATACAAGGAGCTTGAAAGTCAATATTTGGCATGACCACCTTTATCCTTCAACACAGTCTGAACTCTCTTAGGCAGCTTTCTTGTCATTTCTTTAAGTAGGAATAGTTCTCCGGGCTTCTTAAAGGACATTCAAAGCTCTTCTTTGGATGTTGGCTGCATTTAGATGATCCCACACTGCTTCAATAATGTTGAGGTTCGAGATCTGGGGAGGCCGATCCATGACTGATAGTGATGAGATGATGAGATGAGATAGCCTTTATTTGTCAGTTGCAGGTCTTTTGCCCACAACCGAGATGACAGACCTTGCCGACCGTACATACAATACACAAACATCACATTGGGGAGACAGGTCAGGCTAGGTAGCGAGGAAAAAAAACATTGAAATGTGCAACACAAAAGGATAATACAGGAATGCACAGATATCAACACACCATA